TTTCTATTGTTCAGGGTCCCTCTTTCTTGAAAGCAGGCACCCAATGGTCATTGCAATAAACCTGGTTCTTCTCCTCAGCCTTCTGCTCCTGTCTTTGGCAAAAATTCCACGACACTAGTCTTAGTCACCAAAAAAGTACTCACTTTTGCTTTAAGTCCTCACACAGGATTTGTTGTATCCATAATGTCTACTAAGGATGGTTGATAGCTTGTTGTTCTTGTTGTTACAAGGAGCTGATCCTCTGCTGTAGAATCAGGAGTCTTTTTATGCTTCCCCAGAGCAAAGTCAGTAAACACCACACAACAATATTAGACAACTATCAATAGATTCTTAAAAACTTTATTTTAGCAATATAAGCATCTCACATTTACTGTCTCTATCACTCAAATCATGCATTCCAAAAGACTCTTCTTGTCTTTGGCCAAATGACAAAAGGTTGTGGAAAGTCTGTGGAGATTAATCTTGATGGAGCAGTCGATGGGACTTCAAATTTCTCTTCCCTCCAGTTCTCTTTTATAAGCAATGCTAGATTACCTCAGCTTGATTGCTGGGTCACTTCAGTATCACAGATCACATCACCAGGGTTGGTAGTTCTCAATAAATCTTGCTAAAGAGACTTTGTGGAAATTGTGTTAGGGAAAGAGATCCTTTCAGTTCAGGCAGATACAAAAGAGCTGGATATCATCACAGCAATGGGATTGGGGAGGTTGCCCCCATGTTGCTCTCAGGACAACTGCTGATCCTTCAAGAGTTGAGAGTATAAGCCACCTTGGCCTGGATGTCTCACTTTTTTCTTTTCTGTTCATTTTTTAAATGTATATGCCAGCCATTCTCATTTGGTGGCTCAAGTTGATCTTTCATCACAGCACAAGGGCCGTCTAGGGCATTTCAATACAGCAATAAAGTGGTCCATCAGACCAAAGGGACTTTGGGGGAGTTGTGGTTTTGCCCATTGGAATGGTACATGTTGCCCTTCAGAACTGTGCCTTTTTTGTTGAAGTGCCATCTCCCCACTTTCAAGAGCCTGGCAAGGTGGAATAGATACATTCTCCTAACCAAATGATGGCTGTGATCAGACTAGGCCAACATCTTGACACTATCCACAGCCATAATTAAAAATCTGTTATCAGGATAATGTTGTTCATCTAGATCAGTGTTTTTCAAATGTGGCAACTTTAAGATGTGTGGACTTCAACTCCTAGAATTCCCCAGCTAGCATGCTGGCTGGGGAATTTTGGGAGTTGGTGTTCACACATCTTAAAGTTGGCAAGTTTGAAGAACACTGATTTAGAGTACCTCACTCCTATCAAGCTGATGTTTCTCTGAATATTTTTCTGAACACAAGGCTGTAGGATTTGCACTCTGTACAGTTATTGGGATATTTTCATCCTTATTATTAGGATTTCAAGCTGAGTTTTTGCTCTAAAAACAAGTCTAAGTATGCAGAGGGATATCTTGAGACTCTACGAATCAAAGACTTCCCTGCTGGATTAATTCAATTCAGCCCAGCATTTTTCCCATACCAACCACCCAAATGCCTTGAGTAATCTCACAGATGTGGTTTGAAGGGAACACTGAAGGGCTGTATTCACACAACATGGTCTGTAGCTCCCCCCGCCACTATTAACCCAGGGTCTTTTCTGAGTGTGGAAGTTGGTTTCCTTAAGAATCCTACTGAATTCTTCCCAACTCTTATATCCCTGTTCTTTCAGGAAAGTTGAGTGCTGTGAGTCTCCAGCCAAGAAAATTGATTTCCAGATCCTCCTTGGGAAATCCAATAATAACAAAAAATCCAATTAAAAAAAATTTCCATGGGAAAACCAGCAAAAATAACACAATCACCTTTTGGCCATGAACAGAATATACATTTACTATTAATATTATTCACATTGCTTTACAAAAACAAATTATTAAGAAGAGAAAACCCTATTACAAATCCCTTCAAGTTATTTTACATTGGAGTAAATATAACATTAAGTCCTAGTGGGAATTAGAGGTGGATCCCTTCTTGTTTTGTCTCCATAGCCAGGATTTGCAAAGTGACATCATGACCCATGTTTCATCATTTCTTTGTCTTCATGGTTTGTACCAGACACTGGTGTTTCCTTCCTAAGGTTCTTCAGCTGTCTGTAGAATATGTTAGCGATCATGCTGTTATTGATGTCCTGGCTGGCTAACCAAATGGAATGTCCTCATTACTGACCAATGAGAATGTTTTGAGGATGCTGATCACAATTAAATTAATTGTCCACCCCTCTTCCTGGGATACACACACCCTCCCAGAGACCCTACCAATGACTGATCAAAGATGGACTGGTCATATGAACACTCAGCCCTAAAAGCATGGGGCGGGGAACACAATAGAATTTGCACATCATGGCTTCTTGGCAGCTTAAGCACGAAAAACTGTTTAGTGATACATAATAGATAGGCATAAAACTATTTAAATTAAGCATTGGGAACAAGCTAAGAAGGTTGTATGATTCAAGGTGGAGCCTGGGGTTGCTTAGTTTTGTACTGCCAATGGAACCTGCAAGTGATGAAGGGGCCTTGGGGTGGCTGTTTAGTCATTTTAGCAATTCAAAGTTTGATTTTAGATTACCATGGTTTTTTTGTTCAGCTGCGAATCATAGAACCAACTCACCTCTTTTTGCCCTCCCATTATGCCATGGTTTACAAGTTAGGCAAACAAATGTATACAATAAGCACCCTATTTTACATCTTTTGGAAATGGGCACACATGAACACCTTTCGTACAGGTTTTATATCTCTATGGAAAAATGCATCATTTCCAATATATTTATCACCATTACAAATCAACAACTCAGCCCAAGAAGGCAAACTGTTTAGAAGGGACGTTGATCACCTACTCAGCTTCCACTGGTTGGAGGGATGAATCAGTTCTAACTATGTGACAGTACCTGAATTACAGAACAAAGCTGGTTTAATTGACATTTTCGGTTACAAGAAACTATGAAAGATGTAATTTGTGATGGCAGAGACCTAGTAATTCCAGGACTCTTTTGCAGAGAGAAGAATGCAGTTAAAAGGAGACATGATAAAAGTCTCCAAATACCTGAAAGGCTGTCACAGAGAAAAAGGTGTGGATTTGCCTCCATAGCTCCTGGGGGTTGGGCAAGGGTGGAAGCTTCATAAAGGGAGATGCAAACTCAAAATAAGGAGGAATTTTCTGACTGTGAGACCTGTTAAGCAATGGAGCTACCTCTTGAAGTTCTAGGTGCTCTTTCACTGGAGGTTTTCAAGCAAAGGTTGGACAGACATTTGTCTGGGATGGTCTGAGGATTCCTGCCCTCAGCAGAGGGTTGGACTAGAAGAGCTTCATTGTGCTTTCCAACCATTTGATTCTATGAAGACCTGGCATAAACTGATATAAACCGTTGGTATGTGAGTGTGGCTATCTCAGAAGGTATAATCATAGTTTAATCTAAGATAGCCACACTCATCTCCCACCTTTCCTTAGTTCTGCTGAGCAGGCAAGGAATGAGAGCTGACAGCCCCTTTTCAAACATAAAACATGATTGGAAGTTTGCACAGTAATTGATAAATGAAACTGGAAGCCAGAAGGAAAACGGAAGGCAGACGCTGACTGGTACTCAGCAACATAGCAGCTTATGACTTGTAGGAAGACTGATCGCATATTTGATGAGTGGTGTAGCGTACTATTGTCGGATCGTGCCCTCTTGCAATATTGGCAGTTTCACAAACGTTGGAACTGTGGAAAAGAAAAGGCAAAGAGAGAAGGAAGATGGGATAGGATATAGGTTTGAGAATTATGCAGGATAGTTGGGTTAGTCTACCTAACTAACAACTGTCCCTGGTTGAAGAACATTGACATTTCCCCATCTGTTTTATGGCAGCCTTTCCACAGTGCCTGTAGGCTGGGGATCATGCTCCTAAGTGGTGAGAAACTATTTGAAGGACAGCCTATAACCCAATAGAAAAATTTTGTCTTTATGTACCAAAGTTTCCCTGTTTGTAGAATCTCAGGTAGCAAATCTGGGCAAGACCTGCCAAAGACGTTGAGCCAAATTTTGTTAAATGTGGTTTTGAGCAAGCCACAATTGGCTGGCCTCACACATTGTACTAAGCTCTAAATAAGGGTCTACAAATCACAATGGCTAGATTCTTATCCCTAAAACCAAACGAATGAGATTATGTTCTACTGTGAACTTTCTCACAATGTCAAGAAAAAACTCCAAGGGGGTGAGCCATACCACAGAGCATAGGAAAAGGCCCTTCCTCCATGGTTCAAAGTAGCCTGACTGGGTCAGGGTAAGACCCAATTTCTGCCTTGAATATAAATGAAACATACTATTTATAGATCAAGATGGCAATGAAGGCAGCCAGGACGATGGCAGAGAGGATGGAGAGGATGGTGGCAATGGCGATCGTCCCAATTCTCCGCCGTCTGGGCTCAACGACAATGCTGTTAGGATTCCTCCCTGGTGAAGAACAAAAAAATTATATTTGTATCATGTAATCCTTTCAAAGCACCATCTTAGAAATAGCGTCCTTTTCTCCAGGACAGAAAATAGTTTGTAATGCCTACACTGAAGTCCTTCTTTTAAATCAAGACATGCAGGAAAGTGGACCTGAATTATTCTGATTATGCAGAACTGAAGAGAAGCATTTCTGGCCAGTGTAGATTGATATAATTCCAATCTTTCTGGATTTGTACTTCCTGCTCTGAAAAGTGTATTTCCATTCTGACAGCTTTATGATCAGGCAAAATATGCTGACATACTTGAGTGGGGGCTGGGTGTTTGGAATTTTTGCAAATATTTCTGTACTTTCAAAACATATGGGGTCTTTCAGCTTTTTCTTCCATTTCTCAGCAACAAACATCTCATGCACTCACAATGGTGTGGACTCTTCCTCAAAGGCTGCTTATCCTTTGCAGCACTTCCTGGAATTACTGTGCAGAATGGCCAGCAATATTGAGAATGGAGGGTGTTTTTGTTGTGAAAAAAAAAGGAAAATCCAAGAGCCAGCATCTCCACATTTTCAAATGTATGGGAGACATTTTTCCCCACAGAGAACATGAAGGCTAGACAGAATTTGTTCCTGTTCCTGTTCCTGTGAACCCTACAAGATCCATGGCAAGATTTTCTTTCTCTTCCTCTTCCTCTATAAAGGGCAGTAGCAATAACCTTGAGGAACAGGAGGAAGAGCCACTGGTCAGATAAAAGAAATCTGAGTCCAGGGCAGAAATGTAATTTAACTAAGCATCTCAGATATGACCCTCCCTAGACAGGGAGAGGGGAGGCATATTTAGACCTGCAGGATTCTGTTACTTATAAAAAAATAGTTTTAGCATTCATAACTCTGGCCCCAAGTCTGGTCTACCTTGAATGGCTGACATCAATCTTGCAAGCCGGGTGGGGAATTTTGGGAGTTGAAGTCGATGCATCTTAAAGTTCCCAAGGTTGAGAAACACTACACTAAATCATGGTTAAACACATCATGCTTAGCCCTCAATTTCTAAGCTGCCTATTCACCAAACACTTCTGGGGAGCTTACAGAGGGCCGAAAATAACAAATAGTGACCAAAATCACAACAATAAAAACAACCCTCCCAAGGGGGAAGACAGACTCAATATACAACGGTTTCACTCCACTTGAAAAAGAAGCCCAGCTGATTTGAATGAGGCTTACTTTCAGGTAAGCATGCATAGAATATTGTAGAGTTAAGTCCATGGGTGACTGTCTAACCAAAATGAATGGGATTTCAACAGGCTGGATGTGTGACGGGTGCCCATTTCTAGTTACCTTGAATCAGCGTGATGGGATCAGACCATTTTGATTCCTTTATGAAGTCCGTTGAATTCATCACCAGGAACTTAACCCTGGAAAGAGAAGGCTGTATGCGTTAGTGACAATGAGGGCTTTTCCAAAATTTGTCAGCTATGTCACATATGGGTCCCTGCATCTCTCCCCACCTCAGCTGCCTTTTAAAGATCAAGGTTCAGAATTCTTGCGGGGGGGAGGGAATTGTCCAAGAGCCCCATTGCCTTGTCTGTTAATTTGATTAACAGATTCCTCCCCTGCGGCTACCATTAATTTAATAGTTAAAAAGAGAAAAGAAATACAGATGTGGCAAAATTATTATGGGGGGGGACCATCCAGTGCTATAAAGCAAAAATAAGAGATTTATAAAATGACCAATTGCAAATCAGAGCGTGTGTCATTGACAAGAACATCAGCTGTAAAAAGAAGGCAAGCACAGGTGGGGAATAGGCAGGTGACCAGAGATTAGAGCAGGGGTGTCTGCAAGGTGTCAAAAAAGGGTGTCATGATGGTGGTCAGATCAAAGCTCTGCCTGTTTTTTATGTGGATGGCATACAGAGCAAAGCTTCATGGCCACCACACTCCTGGACTAGAAAAGAACTAAAAAAGAAAGAATTAAATAATCAGTAGAAAGCCTCCATGGGGAGTGGAAGTTCTGCAGGCAAACCTTCTCCCTAAACAACAGGGCAGGTGGGAAAGAAAAAGGATATGTTTTTGTGGGTGAAACTGGTTCATAAGAATTCGGCGTGGCAGCCTTGGTGCAGGGGTGGAGAACCAATGGCTCCTAGACCAGATGGGACTTCCTTTTATATTGGCTTTTGGAGCCTCCTCTGAACATGGACACCAAAACTGACCAGTGTCCCTTCGTTCTGAGATAGGGAACACCTGATTGATTGATTGTCCCAGATCAATAAAGGAAGTATCTGACAATTGTAATGTAAGTTCTAAAATGGACAAATCAGAGTTTAAAAATAAATCTTCCTCTAGATTCCCTCCTCCCAGCCTCCCACCACCCATGTTGGCTTAGCCTGGGGCTACTAAACCCTTCCTCATTTTTCCCCTAATAGATGGCTTATAGCAAGAAATGGACAGGAAATGTAAGGAGTTGGTCCAGATTGCCACTTCAAGTGACGATGCCCAATGAGTCACTCTTTTGGTCCAAGGTTCTTGGAGAAATAACCTTTGATGATGAATCCTGCTGTTGATTTACTGCCCATATTTCCTATGGCAGATAAACCATTGCAACATAAATAATTGATTGAGCTCCTTTCTTAGAGGAACAAATCTTAGACCTGTTATTGCAAAACACTAGAAAATTAAAGAATAAAAGGGAGTGTAGGTAGCGATATCTAGATGTCTTGGGAACAAAGATGATTTGCAAGGGGAAAAAGCTCTGGAGAGGTTAATAAAAGGCATTGATGTAAGCCAGATTTACCTATATTTTCTTTTGCTCATCTCATGCCTTTCATTTCTTTGGCTTACTGTCTCTCAGTTCTTTTCAATGCTCTGCGTAACATGGCTTACCCTGAAAGTTAATTGTGTGATGGGTATGGATATTTTCAGGTGGAAAACTAGAGTACCTCTTCCTTGGGATCAGTGGCATTTAAAGGTGCTTAAAGGGAGAAAAAGTGCTTTGGCTGAAAAACAGAAAAGCAAAGAGCTTTGAAAGATGTCCCAGTTAAGGACATGTGTATTCAGCTTGAGTGACCATTTATTGGTTATTTTGATAACTTTATTCTAACAGATTGCTTTCAACTGCACAGGTGTTGTTCTGAGTAACAATATTGAGAATGAGTGTTTAAAATGTTTGCATTTATACTGGAGAGCATATATGTATGTGTGTATATGTGTGTGTACACACACACGCGTGCACACACACACCCATACAAAACCTCCCACACTTTTATTTTTCATTCGCTTTTTTGCCTTGTTTATTTCCCTTCTTCCTTCTGAATTTTAGTTTTTAACATGAGGCTTTGTTGGCTTAATTAAAAAAGACATGGAGGGAGGGACAGAGTCTCCGGGGTTTCTGCCTTCGTGACATTCAGTGCCATTATAGTAACCATTTATGCATTGCCAAAGCAGAAGAAAACATGTCATGGAAAAATAGTTTGCCTATATGATCTGTGATGTACAGATGCAGTTTTGGAAATAATTAACATCATTTATATAAATATGCTGAATATAATATAAATATTATATAAATACATCTACACAAATGGAAAGAAGAGAAAAAAATCAAAGAGGCGGATGGAAGCCACACTAGGCCTCTAGGGGGCTAGCCAACCCCATTTCTGA